TTGGGGCTGACGGGCAACCTCAAGCACATGGAGCGACGCTATGCCTGGCTGCAGCACATGGTGAGGTGCGGGAAATTTGTGCTGAACTACATCCCTACCACCGAGCAGCCGGCGGACTTCCTGACGAAGGCGCTGCATTTTCCGGCTTTCAACCGGTGCTCTGTCGCCATCGGCCAAGTTCGCCTGGTCGACGTCGGCGACGGCGACGACGAGGTGCAGCAGTAGGTGCCGTGCCCTTCTGCACGGTTGGTGCGGTGACGGCGTGCTGTGTGTGGGGTGCACGCTGAGGACGACTTTTCTCCGTGGAGTACTGCCGTGTGGGCTGGAGGCCCAAGCGTGAGCGCGGCAGGGGAGTGTTAACAGGAATGGAGTGTTGGCCCCGCCCTCGCTTGGGGAACGCCGACGACTTGTTCGGATGCACGGGAGTAGCAGCCGACTGTTCACAGTGGAATAGCTGCTCGACAGGCTATGTCGAGCTGCAGTGGACCGCTGTGGTGTTGCTGTCGACCAAGGAGCTCGACAGCTGCAACTGACTGGTCTGTGCGATGGGTGGGCCGTCAGGGAGGTCGACGAAGCAGTCCGTCGACCTACAGTTCGATCGGGAGGTCGACAGAGCAGTTCTGGTCGACAGAACGGGTCCGTCGACCAGGGGGTAGCTTGACGGGAGTTGTGGTCGACCAGGAGCGCCTGGTGGTCGACCAGAGGGACCCAGTGGTCGACCGGAGGCACCTGGGGATCAACCAGAGCACCAGGGGTCGACCAGGTCGACCGGGTAACTTGCTCGACGAGTTCTGCGAAGGCTCGCGAACGTCGTCAAGATCGCGATGGCGCAGGCGACTTCGGACTGGTATCCCGAAGTCGATGTGGCTCGTCAGGCGCAGACAACAGCCGACGGATGCCCAACGAGGCAAGTCGGGCCAATCGTCTGCGCACACCTGCGAGCGCGCGCACTGCTGTGTTCTACGGGGCACGCCGTCGACCTGCTTTGTTGGCAGGTCGCCCTTCTACAGTGCTGGCGCGGCTCCTCTATGCAATGCTGGCAGGCAGTCGACCGAGCTGCGCTGGCGGTCGACCAGGCTAGCTGCAGGGTTGCTAGGTGCCTGATGTAGTCATTGTTGTCATTGCTTCTTTTATGATTCTGGATTCTTAACTTTGCTAGTGAAAACTCTTGCCAATTTCTCCCGTGAATGTGCAAACACTAAGGAACCAAGCAAAGCTACGATCACCTTTAGTAATTTGTGCCAGCCCTGTAGTCCAGCTCACAACCATTGTAGAGTGTATCTCCTCATGCTGAACGCAGGCCTCCCTTTCTTGAGCAACGCGACCTCCGTCAGCATCTTACGGACCAGCTCCCGAGTGACGCCAGCCGGAACAGACTTCAACAGCACCTCCACCGCGTCGGGGTTTTGCTGACGCTCCTTCCTGTAAGTTGCATTTTCAGGGTGCTTCCAGTTGAGCGTCAGAGTGACCCCCTTCCCCACATCGTGCTAAATGGAGCGTCGCCAGACCGCAGCTGCATCACTCGCATGCTGAAAGATAACTTGAAGACGGTAGTATCTCTTCTTAGACAGCCACGCCGGCAGCATTTCCTGGTACTTCGTGGTCGTCTGCGCGTCGGCCGTCAGCGAAGCCTTCCAATGATCCAGGTGCGCAACGACCGTAGGCTTCAACTTCGGAACCTCGCTCTCCCACTGGATAGGAATCAGAATCGTAAGCGGAAAGCTGACTTGTGTCGCAAGCAGGCTGACCGCAGTTGGGTCAAAAACATCCTCGTCATCGCTGTCCCAACACTCATCTTCATCCACATCTGTGCTGCAACCCTCCGTCGCCGTCTCAGGTGCCATTGTGACGGAGATTTGCGATCCTCCCAGCTGCGGAATCCTTGATGTATCCTCTTCCTCATTGTCCTTAAGCCCGTTGACCTTCAAAGCAGATAAACGCTCCTGCAAGGAGACTTTCGCCGCGTCCCCCAGCACATCGTTCGCCGTCGCATTAGAAGGAGCACGAGGCAAAGCCTGCGCCGACACAAGTGGGCTCTTCTCCGGAGAGCGCTCCGCGCTGGCCAAAAGAGTGTTGCCAGTGGTCCCATTAACCTTCTCACCAGCCTTCCCGCCTCCCCGTCCATTACGTCGTGCACCCGCCATTGTGCAATGATGAAAACGGAGGAACAAGCTTGAACTGAAGCTTGATAATAAGCCTCCCCTGAGCACGAATAATTGACCAAAGATGTCATTTCCGTTGCTTATATAGTCGTTGCTGAAGATGTCAGCGGAATCAGGTCGACAAGCCTGTCGACCTGTGTCGACCTGTCGACCTGCTGCCCCGAGCAGCTAAAAAACTAAACCCCCATCGGATGGCATGCCATCCGAGGGAGCCTCAACCCTAAACACCATGCCTCCAGGCATTTAGGGTTGAGGCTCCCTGACCGGATGCATGCCCGTCTGGGGTTTACTTTTTTTGCCCACGGGCAGCGAGCTCCCTCGGGCGTCAACCTGATTCCGCTGAGCTATTTTAGGCGGCTTGATAGTGCAAAATGCCTGTGCCTTGCGTAGTTGATCCAAGACCAAAGTTATTTGACGTTCCCAATGTGTAGGATAACAAACATAAATCCGGTGGAACAGGATCCAGCAGCCAATCCACGTAAGGCTGCTTAAAACCGAAACGCCATTGTAATACCAAGAGACCTGATAAGGCTCGACCCTTGATAGTTCCTGCGACTAGATAAGAAACACCAGTCAGTGTGGGTCGCAACACGTTGTAAGGGCGCGTTCTTGGCCGGGGTCAGGCTCGCTGACACAAGGATCATTCCATGTCGTCATCGTCAAAATCTAGCAAAATCTCAACCTTTCAGAGCTTGGTTTCAAGATTCTAGACAGCAGCAAGAACAACTCTAAGGCCCTGTTCGGCAGCACTTCAGGAATACTAAAAACATGTCATCTTGGCTGTTGGGAGCCTGAAAAGTGTTCATGTTGGCCGTTGAGAGTGGTTCGGCACCACCAAAATCGCCTGCGACCCTCGTGCGACAAGACTTCATTCCGAGCTACCCACCCCACACAACTCCGAACCCCTCGCCCAACCCCAAGCCTGACGTGGGCCCAGAAGTCAGACAACGACCAATCACAAGAAGGGAAGGCCAGAAGATGGGTGCTCATGTTTTCAACGTGAGTACCCATCTTCCGCCTACTTGAGACTTCCATTTCGGGCAGCGTGGGGGGTAAACCCTGCGTCCCCCAAGTGCCCTCTTGCCCAGATTGGGGGTATTTTTAAACATGTGCATCGCCAGCAAAAGGCCCCGCGAACACACGAACAGCAGCCCAGTGCAACGTCCTCGACATACCTAGCAGCAGAAGTGTGCTGTACGACGACTCTAGCTCGCCCACTACGACGGCCCACCTTGCTGATTTCACTTGTGACTGTCTCCTTGTGGTTTAGGCAGCACCAGCCCAGGCTTCTTTTTGCGCATGACTGGACCCTTCACCTCTCTAACCTGGCACGGTAACATATCGGCGTGAACCAGATCTCTGCACCAGCGTAACGTCATAGCGATTTGTGGAAGCCATTCTCGCCCATGTTTACGGACCTCCCACTCGGTCCTTCATAGTCGAGATCTGTGAGTTACCCTTCACGATTGAAGATGAGGCGCAAAGGAGCGTTCACAGCCAACGCTCCGCAACCACCCTTTGTTGCCTCCTGTCCTCGAGTCTCCCATCTCATCCTATCTTCCCGCCACCCCGCACCACGCCGCATTCACCCTCCTCACGTCGCATCTCTCTGGAAAAAAAACGTGCGCGAAGCGTCCACTCGATGCAAAGTGCCATGCATTTCCCCCGCTCGCTTAGTTCCCCCCTCGCCTCCCCTCTCCGTTGCTCATATTCCCCTTGCCAGTCGCCATCGGTTCCCCAATTCCCTTCTCCCTATCGCATTCGCGTCGTCCTCTCTTTCCCACCAGTCGTCCTCTATGTCCGACCTGTCGTCATCTCCTTCCTTCCCGTCGTCCTCTCTTATCCCGCCGTAGGCTTCGTTCCCGCTCATGCCTCCCTCCAAACACATCATTTCCCCCTCACCCTCCTTCCCCACTATTCCCTTTGGGTCTATTCCCGCTCTATGCTTCGTTCCCGCTCATGCCTCCCTCCAAACACATCATTTCCCCCTCACCCTCCTTCCCCACGGTTCCCTTCAGGTCTATTCCCGCTCTAGGCTTCGTTCCCGCTCATGCCTCCCGGTGAGCTACTCATTTCCCCCTCGCCCTCCTTCCCCACGGTTCCTGGCAGGTCTTGCCCTAGGCCCTTCCCATACTACATCTGCTTACATGGAGCCCGAAGACTCACAACCCCGACAGCAGCAAGGGTTCACAGTAGCATCCGCACGTGTGGGCTCAACAGTAACACGCCCGGTTGGCGAGAACAGCACCCCTGGCACTGATGACCAGACTCATGTGTCTTGGAGTCATGTAGGAGGCGAACCAGATGAGGCACCAAACGTGCATCGTGCTCAGCTGCCAAGCTCCGTCACCGCAGCTCTCGCATCGGAGGTCTCCGAATCCCACGGCCCACCTCCAGCACCACAGCTGTCCATCGCACAATCTGCCCCCACTGGTAGCCACGGTGTAGGTACAACGGCGACTACGAGCACACGGTCCATGCCCAGGTGGAATGACGACTTAACTGCCGACCTGCTGCATTGTGTGATTGATGCCATGCGGCATGCTGGTCGTAACCCGTCAGGAAAAGTGCAGTGCTGGCCAGACATCATGTAGAGGCGGAATGCTGAGCAGGGCGACCTAGGTTATACAATGGACCAGTTGAAGACCAGACTCAACACGGTTAAAGGTTGGGTTAAAGACATCAAACAGTTGAAGGGTTGGGTGCAGTAGGGAGTGCATTGGCACCCGGAGCGCGACACCTTCGACCCGAGCATGTTGGTAAGCCCGAGCATGTGGGTAAGCCCGTGCCATCCTCCTCCTCATGGCACTGCCACCTGGTTTCCCGGTGACCGTATGAATGTTTGCTACTAAGATAACCTCGCTAACGTTTACCTTCCCATTCCCGCAGAGGGAGGAGATTGACATCCAGCGACATGATCGCTGGCACGACTACAAACGCTGGGTCACCCACACAGCACCATGGCTGCACCTTGGGGTACAGGTGGTATCTGGTTCAGGCCGCCGCGGCCGGTGGGCAGTCACCACAGGAGACGGAAACCGGCGATTCTCGGACGATCCTGGAGGCCACGACATTTCAAGTGCAACTCCCACGGTGCAGACCACCGGGAGCCAAGGCCGCCACGAGGGTCGTCGGAGCCCCGCGGTTGCAGCGGCAGCCAGCACGGTCCTAGATGCACCACCCACTCAGGCTGCCCCTGAGGCCGCCACTCAGCACTGCCCTGCAGCAGCCATTCCCGTCCCCAATGCAGCAGCCACTCAGCTCCCACCTGCAGCAGCCACTCAGCTCCCACCCGCAGCAGCCATTCCCGTCCCCAATGCTGCAGCGGATCAGCTCCCACCTGCAGCAGCCACTCAGCTCCCACCTGCAGCAGCCACTCACCTCCCACCCGCAGCAGCCACTCAGCTCCCGCCTGCAGCAGCCACTCAGCTCCCACCCGCAGCAGCCACCCAGCTCCCCCCCGCAGCAGCCATTCCCGTCCCCAATGCTGCAGCGGATCAGCGCTTACCTGCAGCAGCCACTCAGCTCCCACCCGCAGCAGCCACTCAGCTCCCACCCGCAGCAGCCACTCAGCTCCCGCCTACAGCAGCCACTCAGCTCCCACCCGCAGCAGCCACTCAGCTCCCACTCGCAGCAGACATTCCCGTCCCCAATGCTTCAGAGGACCAGCTCCCACCTGCAGCAGCCACTCAGCTCCCACCTGCAGCAGCCACTCAGCTCCCACCTGCAGCAGCCACTCAGCTCCCACCCGCAGTAGCCACTCAGCTCCCACCCGCAGCAGCCACTCAGCTCCCACCCGCAGCAGCCACTCAGCTCCCCCCTGCAGCAGCCACTCAGCTCCCGCCTGCAGCAGCCACTCAGCTCCCACCCGCAGCAGCCACTCAGCTCCCACCCGCAGCAGCCATTCCCGCCCCCAATGCTTCGGAGGACCAGCTCCCACCTGCAGCAGCCACTCAGCTCGGCATCCCGTCATCTCCCACCCCAGCATCCACCCCAAGCACGGCACGTGCCGCTGGACTATCTCCCGATGCCCGGGCAACAAGCCCGTCACTGGAAAGGGGAGCATCGCCAATTCACCGCACGGTATCCACCCCAACATCTGCACGTGGAGCGCAGAGCTCTCCCTTGCAGGGAAACAGAGATGGAGGCAGTCGCCGCACAGCCCATGAGATGGGCGGCACACGCAGACGGCGCCGTTTGAATACATACGAGTCCCCTCAAGGTTCTAGGGGGAGCGGGCGAACCATCGTCACTCCACATGAGGAGAGTTTGGCGTCTATTGCCACTGCACTGAGGGGAGGACTAACTCATACTTTTCAACGTAAGTGCTCATGCTTCGTTGCTTGTGTGTCATTGACAGACAACCCTGAATCATTTACGGGCGCATCATGTCTATTCTCTGCGTGCCTGATGATACCCACCCCTGCCGCTGCACTGATTGTCCCAGCCCTTTCAAAAATGCAGCTGGTTTGCCAGTATGCTTACATACTAACTTGGTGCCATGCGCCCCTGTCCGGTGTCATGCACACCTGCCACCCATCCTTTCCCATTTCGCAGGAGACTCAAACGTGTCACTTGCACGAGCGACAGGAATAGTAACAGCCATGACCAACGTCTCGTATGCGCAAAGATATGTCGCGATCACACGTCTCATTCGAAACCCTCGCGACGCTGTGGCGTTTGAAAACATGGATGACGGGTTGAGGCGCATGTTCATTGCGGCGTCCTCGCTCCAGTCGGATGCCCGGTCGCCTTTTTACGACCCCGATAACACAGGAGAGGGACGAGATGAGATAGCGGAGTAGAAGAAAGGCTGGAGACTCGGTAGAGGGAGCAGACGGAAGAGAGGAGGGGAGGGTGGTGAGGGAGCAGGGGAGGAGATGAGGAGATGGGCAGGGAGGAGAGGGCAAAACGAGAGAGTGCAGAGGGGTGAGAGGCAGCAGAGAGGAGCAAAAGGACTTCATGGAAAAGAGAGAGCTCTAGTGGTAGAAGTAACCGATGGAGAGGGTGCATGATAACAAGGCACTCATGATGTGATGTAGTTACACTTTGAAGTGTGTACACTGGTCCTGACTGGGAACATCGTGGTAAACCATGCAACCGGAGTTTGTTTAGTGTGGCCGTTTACTTTGAATCTTGACAAAAGTTAGGCGATGCATGCATACAATGAATTTGAGGACTTGGAATACAGAAATGGCTCTAATCTCGCGTGGTAACTCCTGGACGACGCGAGGCCCATAAAGAAGCGGCTATTCTGTCCCGTCTAGAGCGCCCCTCTTGTGCTGAGGCTGTAATCCGCACTGGTCTTGGATCTCCTCCCCGTTCATGGCACGGTGGTATTGGAACGGGCTCCACACGACGATTCGTGTGGACCTCTTCGTAGTCCTCACCTCCGAAGCGCTTCACAAAGTTATGGAGTATGCAGCAGCATATCACAATGTTGCATTGGGTGGCAAAACTGTATGGCCGCATGAACTTTAAGATAGGAAATCGGGCCTTGAGTTGTCCGAATGCACACTCAACGTGGGATCGTAACGCCGAGTGGACTCGGTTGAAGAGCTCTTGGAGTGTGCGTGGTAAAAATTCTGCATCCCTGAACTCTTGCAGGTGATATAAGGTCGTTCAATAAGGTGTTAAGCAGTTTGAGTCGTTACGGAAACCTGAATCAGCTAACAAGTACTTCCCTCGAGGTAATGCGAACCCACGGGCCAATGCATCCGACCACAATGTGGCATCATGTGTGGACCCTTCCCACCCTACAAGGAGGTATATAAATTGATCGTTAAAGTCCACTGCAGCTAGGACGTTCTGTGATATGTTTCCGTGCCTATCGAAGAACTGTGGTTGGTGTGCGGCAAGAATGTGTGCCGGAATGAGCGTTCCATCTAGGGCACCAATCGCGTCACGGAAGTATGCGTATTCTGGGCGCATGTCGAACACTGCTGGCTGGTTGTCAGATGGTAGCCGTATGAAATCGTGCTGCAACCGGCATAACGCGCAAATTACGGCCCTTACATAATGCGATATAGTGCCACCGCTACGCTGCCATCTCTCCTGCAGGGTGCGATTAGTGGCAGTGCTGCCAACAAGCTGCAGGAAAATCATAAGTTGTTCAGACGAAGCTACATGTTGGCTGTCGACTAGGAGGCCCCGTGACCCTAGCAGTTCGTGTAATCTCCGAAACAAACGTGGCTCCATGTGCAAGGTCTCTCTCATGCGTTCAGGGTGACCGTTGAGCAGTTCAAGCGCATATGCGCTGCCACGTAACAGCGAGGTGTGCTTAGGAATGGGTATTGGTCTAGTTTGTGGCACGGCAGCAAGCAATTCTTGCATTAATCGAGGGACTATTTCTACATCCCAAAAATGATTGGCGGAAATACTAAGTAAACACAATGCCTACACATTGTCTTTACGTAGAGCGCACATAGTACTGACGAACTATGTAAGTATAGGTTCTGCGACAAACAAGCTACTCTTCACCTGGCAATACAGTACGTGCTTTGTACTTACTTGAAATCATACTACGAATGTATTTAGTACATGGTCCGCGTACAGAAAGCATTTACTCCCATCAACCAATTACAGTTAGTACGAGGTTCGCACTATGACACCAGTCACCCGAAAACGTGCAGTATATACATAGTAATTACGTTAAGTTTACAAAGCAATACCCGTTTTGATAGTACATTGTAAGCATGTTACATAGCCTCTGTTCATTAACATATGCTATGGTGGATAGTCATAAAATTTGAAATTTGTAGTTGAATGTATAAACTAATAAAACAACACACAAGAACACAACCAACTAAACTCAACTCTAAACCGTCGAATGGGTAAAAGCCTTCACAGGCATGAATCTTCACGATCATCGATAGCTGGCAGACACGACCAACCCACCCTGAAAAAACAGGAGACAACGTACGACGTTTAAAATATGCGCTAGAAACTAACCAATTAGCTGCCAACAACTGTGGGAAAACGAATACAGCTGAGGTCAAATACAGCATAATAGGGTATGCTGGACTGCCAAACCAGTCGCTTGCAAAACCACGACACACTCACGTCTCGTTAGCGCTAAGAAAACGGGCTCTAAAGTGAAGCAAAGCTCTAAGTACTAACCATGGTGTCGCTGCACGCACGCCATTGTGGCTAATGTCATGCATACACGGTGGCTAAAAATACGTGAAAATCGAAGAGAAGCTTTGAACTAACGCCTAATATTTTGAAGGTGACTGAAGGATCCAACTCGACGGGAGCGTGGTTGCCGGTAAGGAACTCGAAGAAGGCAACTAAGGCCGGAAAGACAGTCGCGATGGAAAATGAGAGCTGCAAGCAATGAAGGGGAGGAGGAAATGAAGATGTGCTCAGAATATACCAAGTCAAGCAGTGCGTTCCTCCCCCGAAATCTGAGCCTGATTGAACATGAACCAATCCGAATCGAGATCTCAATATCTTGTGCCAACTCACTGCATCTCTCGATCTTAACCATTGAACGCCTGAATACATCTACAATTACAGTTTAATAGCCAATCACACAATGGCAGCTGAAAGAATCACGTAATTTCTGCTGTCAAGCGAAATAGCAGGTTGATGCACCTGAAATCTAGATCGTTCGAAGTTAGGACCATCAACAGTTGCGATTCCAACCTTTCTAATGTTGGTGCTTAATCTTCACCGTCCCCTTTGTTTCTCATCGACGGTTGTACTCAGCCTTTGCATCTAAAAATCGACGACTGAAAAAAAACCAATCGATGTCTCACATTCCAACCTTTTGTGAGGAACGAATCATAGGCAGCCCCGAATGCAATGGTTAACAGATATGGAATCGACGGCTGAGATTATCGTTTGTGTGAGTAGGGTAAAAAATGACTAGCCCCTCCTCTAAACCAGGGCCTCAGATTCACTTTTAGGGTCGTCGACCCATCAGGGTACCCCTATGTAGAAACCCTGATTGACAGTGTTCCTAAAAAAAAAAAGCCTGAAATATCAGTGTTGCCTTTGAAAGAAGGCTGATGCATCAGTGTTCAATAATATATAAGGCTGTTATTACTAGAAATCTCTATTTTAATTAATAGGTCAGTAGCGGCCTTCCGAAACATTGCTAAGCTAACATGCCTCATGAATCATCACCAGCCGTGCTATCATCACTGCCCTTAGCATTTGGTTTTTCTCTCTCATCCTCAGCTTGGGACACCAGTACGTGATAGTGCTCTGCTGCAGCACACACCCCGTCTTCACTTCTGCTTGCGACACATACACGTTGAAGCTGCAGGGGCAGGGTTTTGATAAAGTTTGAAGAAAGAAAGAGGGGTTGAACTAGCAGGAATGAGGATACAAATAGCAAAACCCTAGAAGGGTTGTACTCGCTATAGAGCACCCCACTACAGGCTAGAACATAAGATAATATTCTGACACACCCCCATAGCCAAAGTGGGGTGTAATCAGCAGAGCAGGCAAAGCAGTACAAGCTCAGGGTGGATCACAATGTCACCACACATTCTGAGCACAAGTTCAAGAAGAGATAGTTTAGAGTTCACAATTATGAGCAGAGCTAGTGGTAGTCACAACGGGCAAGTGAGGAGGAGGAGAGAGAGTGAGGGGAGAGGAGATAGGAGGCGACGGCTGAAGCTGCAGGCACACGGGCAACAGGAGGCACACTGGCACAGCGGCTACCGGAACAGCGCTCCGGACTACTGGAGTAACTGGCCCCGCGGCTCAAGTAGCGGCAGACGGGCAACGGACCCACGGGCGGCTGGCACAGCTGGCTACGACTGGGCTACCGGGACAGCGCCCCGGACTACAGGTGCTGCGAACGACAAACTGACACCCTCCACTCAACCTCCCGCACACAGTCCCACCCCCCTGATGCACACCCACTGCTACACCGCTAGCTGCACTCCCACGCACCCCCCTTAAACCCTAAACCCGAGTCTCCCACACAACCACCCCCCTCAGCGACAGCTGCAGCAGCGGGAGACGAAGGAGGAGGAGGAGCAAAGGGAGGAAGGCACACGGGCCACCCCCATACCCGCCACCCCACAGCGGCCCCCGAAGGAGCCGCGACGGGCGACGGGAAATGGCAGGGGGAGGGGGGGGGGGGGGGGGGGGGGGGCGGTGTGGTGAAAGGGGCCCACCACGGGCCTGGTTGGAGGGCGGGGCCGCGACAAGGGGCGGGGCCGCGACGAGGGGCGGGGCCGCGACGAGGGGCGGGGCCGCGACGGTCGGGCAGGGCCGCTTCGAGGGGCGGGGCCGCGACATAGGGCGGGGCCGCGACGGTCGGGGCGGGGCCGCAACGTAGGGCAGGGCCGCTTCGAGGGGCGGGGCCGCGACGCAGGGCGGGGCCGCGACGTAGGGCGGGGCCGCGACGGTCGGGGCGGGGCCGCGATGTAGGGCAGGGCCGCTTCGAGGGGCGGGGCCGCGACGCAGGGCGGGGCCGCGACGTAGGGCGGACGCCCGCGAAGGTAGGGCAGACGCCCGCCGCGCGCCTCGGGGCGCACAGCGGGCAAAGAACCGCCGCGCGCCCCGGGGCGCATGGCGGGCAGAAAACCGCCGCGCGCCTCGGGGCGCACGGCGGGAAGGAAAACCGCCGCGCGCCTCGGGGCGCACGGCGGGAAGGAAAGGTAGCAGCGGAAGCGAGGTGGAAACCCACCCACAGGATCGATCCAAGGGGATCGACCTACTCTGATAGCATGATAAAGTTTGAAGAAAGAAAGAGGGGTTGAACTAGCAGGAATGAGGATACAAATAGCAAAACCCTAGAAGGGTTGTACTCGCTATAGAGCACCCCACTACAGGCTAGAACATA